TTAAACTAGCGTGCTTACTGAGACATTGATATGTATCACGGAGTTACACTTTGCCCCGTTGCGGCTGAGCAGATGAAATTTTGGCACATCCCAGCACCACACGGGTCAGACCGGCTGAAGTGGGTCCAAGACCCTTGCGTACTTCCAGCCCCTAGACCTACACAATCCAGAATTGCTTAAAAAGCAACGGTTCTAAAATTGGTCCATAAACTCGGTTTGTCAGAAAAAAAGAGGTGGGATTTTAATGTAGTTCTGCCGCTCAACATCCAATAACATCTCCATGATCGGCACTCGACGAATTAGATTCAGTTGCTATCAGGTTACCAAAGTTATTCAAAACAACTAGCAGACTGACATCATGCACGACTACATGGAACTGCAGATGAAACTTCGTCTAATATGGAGTTCTCGCTGAAATACATCCGCTAATTTCTTGACAGAAAACAGAAAACGGGTGGAACTTGCGCAGACAGGTGCGGAAGCTTGGCTCAAAGGTTGAACGCTGCCCTTCACTCCCAGAGCTGAGGTGACCGGAACTTTCTCCGTGACCATCAGAACTTCTGAGCTCTCTATTTTTAATCCCTGAAGTCCAGCGGGCTGTACCTCGTGGCCGTGCGTCGGGAAATACTCCTATTCGTCTTCCATTCCCGGCCTTGGACACTGATAGCTAAATGTATGTGGAAGCTGGTGGACGAGTTGCAGTGACAATACAATGGTGCGGTGTATCAGAAGATTGCACCGGAGAGCTCAGCTTGTAGTGTTTGGCCCAGTTTAAAGAGCATGGGATAATGCTGTACTCAACAACTGCGTGTAACATTAATGTCCAGGCTTTTGTTACACGCCTGGGGTTCAACGGAAATTTCTAGGGTAACCTTCGCTCCTGCGCATGGAAGGAAAAGTCAGTTAGATAGAATTGTAAGTTGCGTCCCGAACATTAAAGCCTGGGCAGTGATGCAGGTAGTTTGTGACATCGAGGTTAGAAGAAGCCATCCGGTGCGTGGCATCTGCTTAGGCCACTTCGAGGTATCTGTTGGTTGTATAGACCTTAGGGCTGATTTGAATTGTGTATCTAGAATTGAGCGATGGATCTTGCTGAATAATCATAGCATGAATCGCTCTTAACATCAACTATTAAGGACCAAAATAGATATGATGCGGCGTGATGAGTGACATTTGGTCTGTATCGATGATAGATTATTTTGGGAGGAAACCTTAAAGCAACGACGCCTTGAGCTATTTTCTTGAGTCTCTGCAGCCATAGTATCGTGAAATGTTATTTCCCTAAAGATGTTAGTGTGAGCGTGTGGATGTTTAATGGAATGCTTATGTAGAATTCACAATCTGATAGAAATGTACAACAAGGGATTCACGTATTATTAAGACCGGCCAACTGCTAATGCTGGTTGTACTTCGATCTACACTTCATGATAGTTTTGCTGCCAGTACGGTTTTAGGTCTGGATGGCTACCCGATACTTTACATAGCCGACCACATAAGCGTTGTGGGTTTGGAAACTTCTGCACGTCAGTGTTTTGAGGAAAGACTGTTCACCCTGCTGGGTTTATCATGGGACATGTCTCTTTCCGCCGAATGAGAGATAACATGCGAGTCTGGTTCATAATTGCAGTGAAAGGAGAATGTGAGAGTCTAGTCATGTCAGCTGATTAGATGAACATGACGCTAGTGCTCAACAGGTTAAGCTAAATTGGATTTCATTGTAGTCCCTACTAAGTCTATGAGTATGAAGGATCTGTGAAGATACCTTTGAAGCTTTTGGAAATTTTGGTATTCTGTTAATTGAAAATTTTCGATGTGTGATGAGGATCTCGCCCAAATTTGTGCTTAGCAGAAACTATGGCGGCAAATCACGGGTTAGTGACAAGCTTCCTGCCAGATTTGCAGACGCTGGACAAGTCTCTAGCCCCTAGATCCGAGGCAAAGGCCAATAATCTAGGCTAGCTGACGTCAGCGAATTCACCCGGTCTCGTCTTTTACGCTCATCCAGGTAAAAAATCTAAGAACATGGGCCGCCCGGGTAAAATTTTGAGATAATCTACAGTAACTCGTTGGAAACATTACAGTATTTTGATCAGAGCTCTCTGAAGATAGGGTAAGTAGCATGTTTAAGTGCATTGCCGCACTGATCACCTCTAGAAATTTCAGTATAAATCATTAACTTGCTAACCCAGGGTAAAGTGAGCATGCTGCGAACAAATGGTGGAAGTGAGCCATGTATTTCAGAGTGTTATTCTGGTAACAACATTAACTACAATCAAAATTTATCGAATTTTTTTCGTGTGCAGCGCTGTGATGTAACATTTTACAATCCCTTTGAGATTCGGTCAAGATTAGGGTAAAGAGGTCTTTATATCTCTAAGACGAGGGTGCCCATGACTCAGGTAGTAAGCTCTCTTTTGTTTCTTGTTCAGGGTCACTGATCTGTAGATATACCCCCATAAGTTTTCTGTCATTTACATGCTAGTGTGATTCGAAGTCATTGGGCAACTTTAGGTCCGAAATTTCTGTACATTATCTGGAAGGGTTACACCTTTTTTCAGCCTAATTGAACTTATCAGCCCGGGCATTGAAGCGTGTGAACAATATCGAATAAAAGCCCGACCATAAAAAAGCATAGACCCTGAATTAGAAAAAAGCCAAATGCATGTTCACTTGGGCCTGGCAGCAAGATCGGCGATTCTCGACGCTCGTATTCCATATGCTGCCAAGCCTAGACCTTGGTTAACAGTGGGTTACGACACAGGGATCAATGGCAAAACTCTATGTCTGTTTGACTCGACATCACCAATAGGTCAGTCGCGCCCAAATTCAAGAAGCCGAATACATGAGCTTTGCAGATTTGTACTAGGATCAAGAAGTAAAGCTCATGCAATAGGGCATGAGAGTAACAAGGAGCCCTCTTTGTCAGACCGCATTCGGTTAATTTGACTCTCAATAAGCAGAACAGCTTATTTGAAGCCAGAACGATACTGCATCTTTCACCCAAATTGTGGATAATATCGAACATTGTGCAATTGGACAGCATGAAGTGAGTGATTTTATTGGAGATTTAAACATCAGCTGTGCCTAGCTGTGACACTATCGGAACATCACTTTGTTCTACAGCTAACTCTGACAGTAAGAATTTCCATAGAATCCATTGAGTGCTTAAGCCGACACTAGAAGTCTGATAAATTTGAGGGTTAAGACAAATGTAGAGCGTTGGTGAAATCTCTGCATCGATTAGTTCTCAGCACATAGTTATTGATACGGAAAACGCTGTTGCTCGGTGCATTGGGGAATAAAGCTCGCGTCTAATCCTGACGTACGTTTTTATACTCCGGCTCTAGACCCTAGGCTGTGGACGTTTCATCTTGCAGCTACTCATAGTAAAATATCTGAGGTTTCGGGAATTCTAGTGCACCCAGTTCGATATTGGAATCCAGATCTTTAACATGGTAAGGTGGAAGGACCAACAATAACAATGAATTGTGGGGGACAGCGGTGTTTAATATCATGCTGTGAATATTTCGAGGGGAAAATAACCAATTAAACACGGATACAGGGGGTGAAGAGAGCTTATGTTTGTCTTGTGGCAGTCTTGTCTGAAAAGATACCATCTACACAGGAAGTTGTCCGAACTAATTTTTCACGAGGCCAAGGCATGCATATCTGAGCTGGGCTCAAACCCCAATTGACTAGGTAGCAAAGAGACGTACATAGGGGTCCCAGTCCAACTACAGAAGTGTTCCTACTCTGGTGAGTATTGACAGGATGTCATCGGCTCCTGAAATTTGGTAATGCAGGCATTGGTGCGTGGGAGTTGTCATATTAATGGTAAGACATTATCTAGGTGCTAACTCAAGTCGAGCGTGTTTCCATATCCGGCCTTTAAAGTTGGACCGGGGGTATGAACGGCACGGCCCTTGTCGAGTTGACAGATGGCCTTGCTAGCCGAGCGGGACTAGAAGATGCGGTAAGAACCCGATAAGAGCCCGAGACAAAGGGCCCGAGCACTGGGTTGTTCCTAGTGTAAAGCTCATTGGATAGTTAGCTACGAATCTACAAGCCGTGGGAAGTAGAAGGAGTAGAAGAAGTAGTAGAGAATTAGAAGAAGATTCGAACCGGACTGAGACATGCCGCCACTAGGGTATTACACAGCGCATCCGCTGTAAACTTTTTTTGACCAGAAACCAATCACAAGAAGACTCTATGCCGAAAAAACCTACACTCCCCATCTAGTCCTAGACTGAGATTGAGGCTGCTTCAACGACAAGGAGTTAGGCTCTATATATTTCTATATCTACTAGCGAAAATAATGAAATATTTGTACATGTATAACTCGTACGGTTCAGCACGGAGAGACGTGGTTGGTTAATTATCCTTTCGCCCTTCCCCTCACCCCAGTTGTCCAAGATGCTTAATTTCTGTTGTTGCCGGATGCTGTTGCAATTGATACTGCTACTCACCGCTCTCCCTTGAGACCCCTAGCCAGCGCCGCCGCCACAAGTGCTGTTACTGCTATGGCTACTGATACTGCTGCTATTCCTCTTCTCTCGCTACCTTACCTTCCCAGGAACCCTGGCACCTGGCACCTGTAATCTTCCTCCTGCCAGTCTATTCTTAAGCGTGCCACATCCTGGACCATCTATCACCATCCATCAACGATTTACTCCCCTTGGGGCCTGCCAACTGCTGCCAATTCCCTTAATAACGCCTCTTCCCTTGCCCGACCCACGCCGATTGCTGCCGCTGATGCCGCTGGCTGGGGAAAGGCCTCATGTCCGGAGAGCCATAAGATTATTATTCATTTACAGGCATTCTTATTTTCCGTTTTGAGTGGAAAATTTCAGATTCCTATCATCTCACCCTCCGCACAACAAAGTATCTCCTTTTTAGGCTTTCTCCCTTTGTGTTGGCTTTCCCCCCTCCCCCCGCCATTCACCTCCTTCTCTTCCTCCCCTCCCCTCCCCCTCTTCAAACATCTCGCAATTGCACCCGCCATGATGGCTTCTAGACGAAGTATCCAGGTTCAGCCAGACTACACATTTTCACGTCCCATGGGCGGAGTCATCAACCCTCCCCGAAGGTATGTTCATATACGCATGATGGAGAAAATTTGATGCTACAAACATTCCTGAACTAATCTGTCACTTAGCTCGAACTTTCCAGACGTAGCAGTAGCAGCAGCTGCTGCAGTGGCTAACTACGAGAATACTTTCTATGCACGATCGAGGTAAGCTCAAGTACTCACGGCTTGGGGGAGGAGACTGAACACGAGAAACTCAGTGCTGCCTACACATCTGGTCGTCCTGCCTATAGTCCCACCTCACCCTCAGTCGGTCCGGGAACTTCATCTAATCGACCCGTCTCTATGTATGCATCAAACAACTTCACGACAGGTGCCTCCAATGCACTCTACGGAATGCCTGGGCCTAGTTATAAAAAAGCTTATCCCTCTCCTGCCGCTACTTGGGATGCACAAGGACGTCTTTCACCCGAATCCTATTTGGACGATTACATGAATTCCCCAAATGTTTCAGACTACTTTCTGGACTCTTCAGCCAAAGCGATGGGAAAGTGCAAGGGAGACGGAAAAGGTCATTCGCAGCAGCGCCGTCCTTCAAATCGCGACGAATTTGATGGGCCTCATCAATTTTTACAACGCCCACCCCCTGAATATATTGCGCAACAAGAACGCGACTTACCGCATCTCCCAACGAATCTAGTGGTGCATGAACAGGATAGTATCCTCACGCAAGTCAATGATCGCCTCTCTCAATGCGCATTTGACTTCGTAGCCAAGTATCAATTTCCAATTCCATTGGCTAACGGTGAAATGAGGCCGGTCGAGCGACCTCAAGATCGAGAGTGGACCGAATGGGTATACCTTCTCAAACGGCTTGCCACCAAAAGACGAATTCCGGCTCGTGTACTCTATAATGGTCAGATCAAGCAGTTCATTACTATACTAGAAAACTCGCTCGAAATGCGTCATGCTGCTAAACATCAATCTCGTCCGCTCAAGGACGATCGGAATATTCTACAGCTGATCTCTGCTGGTATCCAAGTGGCTAAAATTCTGAAGGATGCCTCGGCAATGGACTATTTAGATCGCTTGTACGTGACTACAGAAAAACGAATACAGGAGCGAAGTTCGGCAAGATACCGTCCCTGAGCTAGCAGTGGTTAATCTGTACTTGTATGACGACTTTTATGTTTGCATGTCATCGGCGTTGGAAGGCACCTTGATAACAGAAATTGATCCCGTCCGTGGTCATGGATTTTGGGGGTTGGGGCTGGGCACGCGTGCGCGCGTTTGTGTCGGATCATGACCAAAGACTCTAGTGTGGCATTAGCATCTGGGTAGGCAGAATTCTCGGTCTCGTTACAAATATGAAAGGTATTTTTTATTTATTCCCAATATACTGGAAGGTAGTTTGGCCACAGCAATGGCCAGGGCCTTAATGATTGCTGGGGGTGGTTATTAGTCACACCACCCTACTCGTTTGTAATACAGCTCGGCTCAAAGCTTGCTACGGAAATGAGGCATGGCCAACAACAGAGGAACAACACTGATAAAAACGAATGATTTGGTTGGATTTTAACTCTTCAGTCTCGACCCTATCTGGCTCCAAATCTAGAGTTGCTATTACTGGATTAAAGATATAGACTAAGATAGGTAAACTTTTGTTGGATACAAATTGTTGCAGGAAGGCAAATATTCTTGAGGAAGGTTGAGCCATGCCGGACAAAACTGCGAGATGAACTCCACTTTGAGCGGGAGACAATATTCAAGTCATCCCCTAGTATGCTACCTTTTTGTAGCTTTAGTGGGTTTGAGTCAAGCTGCAAAACTAAAGACATAAGATTGAAGTAGCTAGCGTCAAGTAGTGCCAAGTGTTCAGGTATTTTCGACTCACAAATGAAGATAGATGAGATTGAAAGAGATCAATAATAGTGTTCAGTCAGAAGAGATGTATTTAGGTGCAGATATACACGTGCTCATGCGGTTACCTATTCGTCTTAATACTAAATTTTGACGTGTTTACGTCTCGGATCGCATATCCAATTTATCTGCCTCGTGATTGCAAGATAGAACGAAATAGTTGTATTCCTATTTAGCAGTTTTGTGTTAGGATCTTTGTCGGCTTTTGAAACCCAAAACCTTGTAAAATTTCCAAAGAATTAGGGTCCAAATACTAGACACATTCGGATTCAAACATCATACGAGGCTCATCTAATCTATCGGTAACTGGCCCTTTGCCAAGTGCACAAATTAGCCAGGGCTAAAGACATAATCAAGCCTTAAAATGATTGAAGGCGACAAACTTCTAGAAGCTATCAATCTGCTGAGCCTTTGTTCTGACCAATGCACCCGGCTCTATGGAGACGACTCCGGCCGCAACTCTTAGAGTTGACGCGGAAATTCAAGGGAAACCTAATAGTCAGCAGTGTTTGAAGTTATCCCTACGCAATCTCGTCAGATGAGAGACAGGAGCGCATCTTGACAGGTTTCTACTCGAAGAGCGATGGCAGCGACAGCAGCTGTCTTCAGGTAGTGCATTCTGAGCCACGTTGACCCTTGCAAAGACGTGGGGGTGAGAATCGCACCAACAATTGATTGGATCATCCTTCAGCAAGTTGTGGCATGCTGAAAACTTACAGAAAAGCCGATTGCACTGTGGAGCAAGACCTGAACATCAGATATAGGTAGTAGCGAGATGAAAGCTCCGGGTCAAAGCGAAAATCCAGATCTCCATCTGTTATTCCCATGATAGACCAGGTTGACATGCCATTTTAAAATTATGGCTGGTCGATGAGTGGTAGATGACTATTCACCAACAACCAACAATTTCCGTTTGTCGAGGCTAGTAAACTAGATACAAGTATTACATGACACCATGACCATCATCGTAGGACAGTTGAATAGAACAGTTTACGAATCTTCAATGAGAGAGCCTACCTCGCCTACGAGCACCTGAGAACTACGGCTGAGGTTTATGTGATTCGAATTATAAAGATTGCCTGCAACTATACCAGAATCATATTAGCAGGGAGGTTAAAGGGGCTCTGATGTCAAGGCTAAATGTATCAGACGATTCGTCTATTCAGTTAACACCAAAGATGTCACCTAGCGCCATATGACAGCGGATCTAGCACCGACCAGGTAGAGAAATGATTGGCGTGAGTCTAAGGGATAGAAGTCGACGAAAACTAGCCACAGTGAGTATCGATAGCAATAGGGGCATGGCAAATTTTCGCGAAGCTTGAGGAATAAGTTACACGCAAGCATATACCAGCATCGTACGTCTAGGATTGAGCGGCGGAGAGTCCCGGAAAAAGATAGACGAGCATCATAACTGCAAATAATGATTTGGACGAAGTTTTGGTATGAAAAATGGAAAAAAAAAACGCTGTGTGACGGCTACCAGAGGCTCAATCAATGGACATTGGCCTAGACGTATGATAGTTTTTACATACACATACTAGTTGCCCGGATAATCTACGAGCGGGATAGAGAGCTATCATAGTAGAAAAAAAAGCATTCAGCGTCGATCAGTATGGATTCGCCATGAACGATGTGAGAATAGCCAGCAATGGAATGTAGACTCTGGGCTCTATTATATTTCATCCTAGTCGGCGCTCTTCTGAAAACAGCTACTAATATATGTAGGTGACTAATCTCAAGGATACCAATCGATTATGCTACTATTTGTGGATCTTTGTCTCCCCAAAGATCAACCACGAAGACCGGACCCCGACGCAGTGCGAAGCGGGATCCATGATCAGCTAGCGAGGCGATGTCGATACAGCGAAGGTCAACGTCTAAACACCTGTATGCGATTTCTTCTACGAACCTGGGAGTGGAATATTCTCTCAGAGCCAAATTAAGTCAAATTTTGCAATACCGAAGAAGTTGGTCCACGAGGAAATGATTCAAGATTCATCACATCAATATCTCACTGCTAACGAGGTCGATTATCGAAAACGAATCATCAACTTTACGCGTTCGACCTAGTACATCCTCATTTCTACAACCACATCTATCTTCAACTCAATCTCTAGTCTCAGATAGCCTCTAAATTTATGCCCATAAGATTATGAATACCTACCGGTGGACAAAATTCGTGCTGTACAAATCTCGCAGGTGGATTTTTGGGATGGACTTTGAAGATATCAGGACAAGTGGACAGAATAATACAAACGTTGGATATAACCTTGGGAGGGGTTAGATTTCGACTCTTGGAAAGAAGATTTTCAAATGAATATTATGCGCTACATGGTTTCGTTCGCGAGAATGTAAGTGACACTACAAACACCGAATGGCTGGTCTACCAAGCAGGATCTAGATAGCTTAAATAGGAGATTGCTAGTTCAAATCCAGCAAGAATAGGCCACACATCTTGATGTGCCATTACGCAGGTGATAATGGCTTTTTTTGGGTGGCTTAAGGTATTTATTTTCCTTTTGACGGATACTCACGGAGGAAGATCGACTGTTTATGTAAGCAAACATACCTCATGGTAGTACTTGTATTATAAAAAGATGGATCGTGAGGAAGAGGGACGTATATAATGTCGTGAATTACTAGGAATTATAATTGACTATGTTACGTTGAGACTGGACTGAGTAATGAAAGAACGCCTGCACGCTAATACACTTGAACGTGATGCACAATTACAATATCCCCCCTCAACATACACAGTGTTAGGAAACACTTCACAGTATCTCAATGATAGACAAAGACTTTGTTGAAGCATTGGCTCGTTGTCTATTGGTTGAGATATATTGAATGCCAATGAGTCCTCGTTTAAACAGTTGTCGACAGTAATGGTTACGTAACTTTAAATGACGCGAACGCTTCTAGTTGTCGTGGTTTCTTACCAATGCCATTGTCGACTGATTACCCACAAATATTGTAGTACAATTACTTCCTTTTATCTGACCTCTAAGCCCAATCTCGTCGAGAGTCTCACTGAACCGAGTCACTTGTCGGCACGTCTCTGTGAGTGCAAGATACTCGGCTTCTGTACTCGAAAGCACGACGTCACGTTGAAGATGCAATCTTCAAGCAGGATTAGGGAGGCCAAAGTTGAACGAGATGTAGATGGATCCCCCGCAAGTTCCGAACCCGAATAAGCTTCGAGCATGAGGATTTTGTCTCTTGAGTAAGTGGGACCAGCGGCAGGGTCCTTACTAATACGTTTGAGAATATGATTTGCAGCTAAGAGGTGCTCTTCAGACGGATTTTGAAGGAAACGAGCGAGATGGTTAGTTGCAAACGCGATATCAGGGCTTATTTGGTTGGCGAGATATTGGAGATCTCCAAAGATTTGATGGAACTTTGCGATCCGCTCAGCATAAAATGGCTGTGGTGAGATCTCCATGTGATGCTCGATTGGCTTTGAAACGGGTTTAAAGTCGGCAAGAACACGTCTGGAGAGAAGTTCGCGCGCATAGTGGCCTTGAGAAAGCCTTAGAATTTCACCTTCGTTACTCACATTGATACCGAGCAATTGGTCGCGAGAAACAGCTTTAAATTTAAATTTAGATCTGAGAGCTTTTGCAAGTTTTCTGATTTGATGGATATTGTTGTAATTAAGGCAGCAACATGACTGCAGTAAACAAATAGTACATATCAGAATAATATGCACTGGCGCCATGAGATATGATTAACCCATATCATCACTCACTGGCATGAATAGTAATTAGCCAATAGATGCCTAACAGTATACATTGGCTTCAGGATCTCCAACAACCTTCCCGTTTAGGTTAGATTAGGGAGTATGTTGGAATTCACACTAGTGTGCGGAAAACCCCGCTTTCATGTATTTAGAGGGACTTCTCGCCACACATATAGAATTATAGCAATTTAATCACAATTAACTATCCATTAAACATCAGTAAACTTCTTCGTTTAGTAAACACATTTATCGTATCTCTTAATCAAACTTGAGGCTAGTGTGTAATTCTTCCAATCTCCGGAACTAATTTCAATTGATATTAGGTCCAAGAATTTGAAAGTCGTCAACATGAAGTAGCACAAATACGTCCCTTTTGCTGTTGGTAAATAGGCAAATATCAGACTCGGCAGACCTGAGCCCAAGTTTGTCAAGCTCAACTTCAAGACTTTCATGCCAGAGTGCGGCAGCTTGCTTGAGGCCATAAAGTCCT